AATTCACAGGAGGAAATTACAGAAGGTTGTAGGTTAGAAAACCATGGATTAATTGTCCAAGCAGTTCACCAGCTCAGTCTTCTATGCAAACTTCTCTTCCTTGGGGCTCACCTGCTTTCCATTTGTCCCCTATTCAACAAAAGGGAATCTTACTTGGTACTACTCCAGCTCTCTGTGACAGCCACTTGACTTCCAGGCTTTGCTGAGCCACTTTGAAGTCACTAGTAAATAATGCTGTGGGTATTCCCCCGGTGTCAATCACACAATATTGACAAGAAATCAGAAATCAAAGTCACACAGCCAGGAATCACTGCTTTGGCCATAAAAGGTTGGTCTGCCCAAGTATCCTCTTCGTGCCCCACCACGAGGTGCTTCTTGCACTGCCTTCAGTCAGGCTACCAAAGAAGCTGGCAGACATTTCATTTCCAGCTTTGGAGAGCCTGGGCTGGCAAAGTAGGAGAGGTTAGTGGAAACAATAGGGCGGGGGGAGGGCAGCGAGCTAAGTTAGGAGAGGAATCTCCTTCTACTCAGACCAGCTCGTACACAGAAAGAGGCTCACAACGAAAGAAAGGGCTTTGACGTCGCAGGACACCACAGTAAAGCAGGCGATCGCTGCGAACGGGAGCGAGCTCAGGATGTGCCTCAACAGGGGAGCGGAACAAATGGCTCGGGATGCGCATCCCGCGGGGAGGATGCCCCTCACCGGGGGAGCGGAAGGAGTGGCTCGGGATGCGCGTCCCGCCCCGCACTCCCTCCGGCGTCCCGGGTGTCTCGGGGTGCGCCGGGATCCCCGCACTCCCTCCGACATCCCGGGTGTCTCGGGATGCGCCGGGATCCCCGCGAGCTCCGCCGGTCCTCGGGCGCCCCCCGGCGGCTCCGCCCGCCCGCCGGGAGCGCCGGGAGCTCCCGGACCCCCGGCCCCGCTCCCGGACCCCCGGCCCCGCTCCCCGCCCGCAGAGTCACCGCCGCCCGCGGAGGTGGCGGTGGGTTAATGGCACCGAGACCGGGTCGGTACCGGGACTTCCATACTTAGCGCTGGTCTCGGGTACGGAATCAGTTAACGGGGACTGACACAGAAACGTCATTATTGGGTAAATCCCCCCGGTTCTGCAGGCTGCAGGTGGAGCTGCCAAGGCAGTTTGCTTAGACGCACCCTTCACATAATCATTTTCTTAAGGAAATCAATGGGAATTGGGTTTTACTGCATCAGTTTTCACTCAGCATTTAAGTATCTGAGAGAAAGGGAAAGTACTGGTAAAATTTCCCAGTAAAGCAGCTCGCAATGTAAAATTTCCATTCCTTTCTGTAGAATGTACAGTCTCACTCCTGGTTAATTTTTGCTGTCCGGATGGTATCCAAGCACCTGCCCTGAAACTCACTCCAAGCTCTGCGCTCAGCCACAGCAGATGCTAGAGGTTTAGTATTTCTGCACCCTCACAGCTGTGATTCAGCAAAGCATTCCAGCTTATTCACCAAAACACTTGGGCATGTGCTAGTTTTCAAGCATGCATGTAGCTCCCCTCACCTCTGTGTAGCTTTTTTCTAGGCCACAAATGCCACTTTCAGACCTACCTTTCCCTGAGAATCCAGGCTGTTTGAGGACTGCACACCAACTGGAAGAAGAATGTGTCCTGAGTCAAAGCTAGATGGCAACTTCACAGCTGTGTAGCATTTGCAGCATGAAAGGGCAAGCAGGAGCAAATTAACACAACTTCATTTGCTTAAAGACAGCAACTACAGATTAATGGAGATAAAATGAGGGTCTTTAGCGACTCAGATGTGAATATAAACTGAATAAAAACTTCTCTCTACCAACAACTAGCATCTTTGGCAACTGCATCAGCAAAGGACACTTCAGTTCCAAGGGCAGAGAAAAGCAGAACTGCACAGACCAGCTACTTTGCAGATTTTTCTGTCAGGCATCTTGCAAAAAGACTGAAAATACTTAGCCACCCTAAAGTTTTACACTGAAGGTTTTGGGAGCAAAAACAGACTTACAATTTGGTCACAAATGCTTAAACCCCAAGTTACCATTTTCACATCAGCCTTGGCATAGCTCTTTGTAGGCATGCATCATTCATCCTCCAGTCAGAACTTCCTCCTTGCCTAAAGTCACCTTTCCAATCAGATCCACTACAGCGGATGATATTAAATTTTGGATTGGATATTTATGCAAAGTGTTGCTGACTAATGGTTGCACAGGAACCATAATGCTGACCACTGGCTATCTCACATTCAAATTTCACCACTCTAACCATCCATTAATAGAGCTTTGTTTTTGCATGGAGTCTAATAGAGGATTTTAAACCATCAAAATAATAAACCCAGGAAAAGGGAAGCTATGACAGCATGATAAACTGCCAGTGCCTACCAAATACCATGTGCATGCAAAGAGATAGAAAAGGAATGTAATAGAAAAACACTTCAGACTTTGAACGTTGTCAGCCAACCATTGAATGCAATACCTAGAAAGAGCTGCTCAAACAATCTATAGCAAACAAGGCAGACAAGCCAGATCGAACTGCCAGTCTAGACCTTTTTCAATCTGGTCTCAATGTTTTGCTCTTTCAAACTCAGCAAGGCACTTAATGTCTTCATATCCATGACACTTTTTAGCCCACCTCGTAAAGGCAAATCAACAATTGTGATATATAAGTGATAGCTGCCGTCGACAAGTCTCCATTAAACCAGCCCTGAACATGGAACACCACAATGTGCACCCCATTAGATTCTCTGTGTATAGAGAGCTCCAGGCTTTGGCACACTGCTAAGAGGATGTTTTTCTGTTCAACTTGCAAATATCCAATCTCTTGAGCAGAATTAGTTCACTAGAATTCACCTTACTTCAGTGCTTCAAACTGGGGTACATTTAATTACCCTGGTTTAGAAAAATATCTGCCCAAAGATTAGGGCTGTCATGTTAAGCATGACAGCTCAGCTGCATGCTGGCTACTGGGCTCTACAAACTGATAATGCTCTTCACATGCATATTAAGGATCTCCTTTTGAATGTTATTAACAGCTTTCTTGAATACTTTTAACTTCAGTGATACACAATTTGTTTTCCATCACCCCAGCTCTGGGAAGCTGTTCATCGCACCCCTGAGTTTTTTCCATAGACTTATCCTTAAAGATATTAGGTATCCAACCTCCAACAAGGTTAGCAATACCAACACATGTATTTGCAGACACTGAATTTACATGCAATGAATTCATACTGGATTGTGGTCTCAGTTTGGGAACACCAGTACTGAATACCAAAGTTAACAGAGTTATGCCCTGCTTCAGAAACACTCCCTATTTGCTTAAATGGAAATGAAATTGTCCCAAACATAGCAAATACACCTGCTCCACTAAACACTATTTTAAGGCTATTTGAAGCTTTTCAGTACTGTGCATTTGAACTCCACAGACCACAGTACAATACCTTTTTCTCATCTGAATAGCTAGATCAATCAGACCTACACCACCTGAAATTTCAAGGAACCAAGAACAAACTTGAGAAGGGCTATCCCAAAGGAGTTTTTCTCATCTGAAAGTAGTTACAACCCCAAAGAAAAATATTGGGTTTTGTTTGTTCCACCCTCCCCAAGTCTGGTCCTATGTTGCTGCTACTTGAAGGGCAAGAAAGTTTCCATTTTATTCTACCTACTTTCCTGCCTTAAAAAAAAAAAAAACCAATTTCACATAAACTCTTCCAGCTGCAGCAAGAAGAAAAGTTCCACAACCAAGTGACTGGATTCTGTAAACTGCTTACTGTCAGGTATTTCAGCAGTATAGAAAAAACAGAACAGCAGTAACTGAATAGTCAGCTCACATGTGTGGAAATTGAAACCTCCAAGCTATTCTGGGAGCAATGCTCTGTTTTCTGTAACATTTCTGCATAATCACACCAGAAAGCATGCTATTTGCTGGAGAGACTATGATTACATGCATGTCTGTACACCTTCTGTTACAGCTGAGTCCCTGGTTATTAAAAAGCGCATCTGAGGCTCAACTGCAACACAAGCGAAATAAAATACGTTCAGGATGAAAGAGTTAACCTGGCACTGCCAGCAAAACACATGGAGCATTTCTAAATCGCAATTGCTATCTTTCCAAAGGATGTCACCAGCTTCCCTGTTTACCCAACACGTTTACTCTTCTTTAAAGCAGGTAAAAGAGTCCTCCTCCTGCCTTGTACACGTCGAGTGGAGAGGGCTTAAAGCAGAGAAATTGAACAAATTTGACTTGAAAGTACTTCAGCTGGACCAGTGAAAACAAGATCCAGTTGCAAAGTTACCTAACTGAGCCCGTACTGCACAACTACAGCCAGTTGTGTAACAAACCTCAGGACAATTTTACAGCTCTTAATCAGGCAAAACTCCCCGCTGATTTCCACGAGGGAGCTCTAATCAATCAAAAGCTCTGTGAACTGATTCCGGTTTTCTCCTTTTTAATGAAAAGGTTTATTTTGAGCTATGAGAACATCAGATTATATGAACTCGGCAAACCCACAGCACGCACTTTATCGGCATAAGGAATTCGTCCTGTGTTTTAATCTACCAACTGTATTTGGTAGTGTACAGGAAAAAAAAGTAACAACACCTGAACTGACATAGAATAATTTCACAAATAACGGACCTATTCTCCTGACAGGTAAAGAGAAGATGGAATAGACAGAGGGAGATCCGCAGCTCTTTAATTAAACACCACTCTCTTTGGGCGAACGGGGAAGACCAGCGTCCCCGCCCGGGTTCCTCCTTGAAGTTGCGCCGCTCCCCGCGGCAGCCGGGAAGAGAATCCCCCGCGACGAGCCCGCAAGTGAGCGGCGGGGATTCCGCGAGCATCCCGAAACCGCGCAGGGAACACCCTGCCGGAGCGGCGGCACCGAGGGTCGGAGGGAGGCGGCCGGGATGCGAGGGGTCCGCTCCACGTGTCGCCCGGGGCGACAGAGCCCGGCGCGCCCGTCCCGCCGCCGCCCGCTCCCCGAGTCCCCTCAGGTGCGCCGCCCGCCCCTACCTGCCCGCCGGCCGCAGCAGCGACGAGCCCCCTTCTGCCGCGCCGGGTCCCTGTCAGCGGTCGACGGGAGAGCAGGAGCGCTGTCCCGCCGGCTGGGCAAGCCCCATGTGAAGAGGAGCGAGGGAGCCCGGCGGCTCCACCAGCGCGGCCGAGGGGAGGGGACGCGGGGAGGCGGCGGGAGGGCGGGACGCGCCTCTCTGCCATCCCTGCGGGCAGCGGCGGGCACCGACGGGCGCTGGGCGCGCTCCGGGATCCCGCGCACCTCTCTGCCATCCCTGCGGGGAGCCCCGAGCTCTTCTCGAGAGCCCCTTCAGCGCACCCGACGCAGTTTGCTTGTACTGCTGAGGGTCCGCCAGTGAGTAAGTCCAAGCAGTGTTTCCAGTGAGTTAAACGTCGTGGTAAATTCGGGCTGTAACTTCCACATGCCGGCAGAATGGAAAATGCATCGAGGCCCGCAAGGTAAAGAGGCAGCAGTGCCAGCCTGAGAGAGCCAAACAAGCTTGGATGGCTGCTGTGGGACCATTGCTTCTCCTGGCATCGGGGCTCTTGCTGACTCTGCAGTGCCTCCCTAAACTGCCTAACAGGGAGAAGGGATAGGATGGCCCCAACTAAGGGAAAAGAGAGTTTTTACAGTTAAAACACAGCGCAAGGACTTGGGATATCAGGATTCACTGTTTGACTTTGCCCACCCATGGCAGCCACTCAGTTCTTGATCTACCAAGCAACTGTGGTGATGCCAAAGTGAGTTTTTGTTAAAAGTTTGGCTGGTTTCCCAGAAATCCTCAAATTATGCAGGGAATTGGATTCATACTTGTCAGTTAAACAAGTGCCCAAATATTTGCAGAATACAGCATCTTTCTGCTGTAGCTCCCCATCTCTATTACCAAATCTCCCTCCCTACCTCACAAGAATCCTATGAAGACTATCTGAAGCACAATGATTTCACAATGACAGAGCTCCCAAAGCAAATCCACTAGGAGATAGATGGTGCAGTTTCATCCCATTCTCCTCCAAACAGGCATAAAAATATAAACACAAAATATTTTGAAAAGAAGGTATCTCCAGGGATGCAAATTTTTCAAGAAAGGAAAGGAGTGAGAGACAGAAACAAGTCAGCGTGTGCTGTGAATTTGATGCCAGGTTTTGCTGAGCTGGCAAGCCCTGGACTACTGCTCCTGACACTGTGAGGTGTGAAACACAGAACAGGCAGGCAAACACATTTGCTAGCCCAAACCAGGAACACACATCACAAGCCTTCCAAATTAAAAATTTTAAGAGACACCTCTTGGGATATAGCTGAAGTGCTCTGTCAGAACACTGTGACTCTCTAATTAGAGACTTCAACAGGATACCTGTGCAAATGTTAAAACTGTACACAGTAAACCTGATCTTTTTTCACATTGCTGATAAAGTGCAACAAAAAGCAGCATTTTACTGAGGATGTTATGCAAAAAATCCTGCTGATCAGTAATTTGTTCACAGCATTAAAATCAAAAGTCATTCTATTTATGTACTCATGGAAATAAACTTATATTACTTTTATGGTACAGTGAGAACTATACATCTAAACTCATTTAAATATAATAAACATTATGATTTCCCATGTCTTTTCTGCTTACTTCTTCTCTATTACTGTTTCATAAAGCTGTGATTTTTTTACCCTTATGTACCAGTACTTAATAGCATAACCATAAAGGTAATCAAGTTCTCCAGGAAGCCAAGATTTCCCTTAATTTTACTTGGATCTCACAAGTCTTTTAGCTTAATAGCAGCAGGACCATATTACACAGATATGCATAGGTGAAGCCTCCAGGGAAAATCTGTGAATTAATACAAAAGCAGGTTGTGCTGTCCCAGAATAACTGCTGGGCGAGGCTGCTTGGCTCCCAGGCTCTGCATGCTGTGTCATGGCTGGGAGCTGTGACAGCACTCTGGCACTGCTTCCTGCAAGTGGGACACAGCCTCTAGCACACCAGGATGCTGGATGTTGTGCTCAGCTCTCTAGAAAACAGCCAGAAACACAGGATGCCCTGGAGGGATAAGGGAGACCTCATGCATCTGTGGCTTTGGCAGGATTTTCACGGAACATATTTGTGGTCTAGCTGTAGGCTGGAGCCTACCCCTGAGGTAACCTGCGGTAGGGAGCTGTGAAGAGGAAGGAGCAGGGTCTAACCTCCATCTGTGTTTGTCTGAGTCCAGATGAACATGAAGAGGGAGCTTTCTGTTCTCTATCTTACACTCCAGCACTAAAATAATACTTCTCATTCTGAGGCATAGATAAAATAAGGGCTTTGAATATCACCCTGTAGTTTTGTGCCCACACAGCTACATGCCTCGACGTCCCCTCTGCTTGCTAATATTACCGACTTGTTTTGCTAAATCACCCTTAAAAGGGCAGAGAGCTGCTGTAAATTAGGACAGAACTGCTGAAAGTACCTGAGTCCTCCTGCGGGTGGCATCAGAATGTCTTCAGTGGACCAAGGCATGCCGAGGAAAGAGGAGAGGGATGATACTCCTGCTTGCCAACTGCCAGAATCATTACAGTGTGAGTGCTGTTAAGAAGCAGCATAAATGAGCAGATCTTTAAATTAAAAGAATGATTGAAAGTAGTAAGAATTAACATCACTCCATCAGCCCTTTTAATTCTGACAAAGAAACCTTTATTAAACCTCACAGCCAAGCTCTGTACAGGTTACAGTTATCACAAGAGGAGGATGCAGATGTATGGTTTAAACTCACAGCTTCTACAGCTTCAGCAAAATGGGAACTTTATCACCACCAAAAGTACTTTCATACTTCTTCATGTAAGCCCCAAGGAGTCAGTTACAAATTGATGAACACAAATGAATCACCACAGTTGTCCAACAGGATGCAGAGGAGTCAAGTGTAGCCAGGATAACAAAAGCTACAGATGCAACCAGAGCAGGGTTGATCAGTGTTTTTAAACTGTTGTGTTACAATTGTCATGCTTTTTCTAGTACCTATATGGATCAGGAAAGACCTTATCACACTGAGACAGCTTAGTGTATACTCCCAAGCCAATATATATATTTTGGAAACATTCAAGTGCTATGGGTCTAACTAATGAGGAAGTGACTGCCTTACCTGCAGAGTATTTTGTGCTCATTTTAGAACACATTTTTTCAGAATTTGATCATACCTTGTACTGCTCAGTTGCCCATATGACTAAATTACACTGCCTGAGACCATAATCACAGCAAACCTTAGTGAACTTGTGCCCAGCAGCCACCATCAGTTGTAAAAGGAGGAAAACATGACCTTCAAAAACACATCAGGAAAAATCTTTCTCTTTTTTGTCTTTTTTTTTAAATTTTTCTCTGCTTTGAAAATATTTTAGATGATCTAAGTTGGTGTTTGTTGCCACAAGCATTGATCTGCTCACCTGACATTTGACTTTCTTGCCAGAAATTGTGATTTTGCTTAGGAACTTCTTTGACACTCTTGCCTGCAAAAGGCCTGGATTAATTTCATTATAGACTGAATACTTCATCTCTACAACAACTAGTGAAGTGGGACCATTTTTTTATTAAAGTTGAGGTATGTGAAAGAAGTCCGAAGTTCAAATCATCTGCCTTCTGAAAAACTGGGTTCTTTCAGAGTATTTCCAAGAAAAGAAATCCCATATGTTGCTCTGAAACTCATTTCTGATTTGTACTGATAGAGGATCAATTCCAGTTTACCATTTCTTTCCATTAATTTATTCTTAACAAAGTTAGTATTGAAAAAAAAGCAAGATTTGTTCTCATGAGATTTAGAGTTATGAGTCTGTGTATACAATAGTCATCACAGAGAATGAGTGGGTTTTTTTTCTTGTCAGCAGTGATGCTATTCTTAGTTCTGTATGTGGTCCTTATGCGTGTCATAGATAGGCACAATTGAGACACATTGGCAACTTTGATCATATTCAGACATGGGCTGATCTCCCAGTCCAGGAAATTATCCTAAAACGCTCATCATGTTGGCAGCAGATTTTAAACCAACAGTTCCCAAGAGCCTCTGCCAGCATATTGTTGCCTTTAGAGGATCCAGAGCTACTAAACATATTAGAGGAAATGAGAAAGACACATGAATTCTATATCAAAAACCCAAATCCACAACAGCAACAACAAAATCTACTTGGGCTACAGCTATAACTTTGTATCCCAAAGGTTTGAGAAATCATTCAGGCAGTTGTGTGACATGTGGCACTATCTGAACCCTCACACTGGACTCTTTTGGCTTCGTGGCACTATCTGAACCCTCACACTGGACTCTTTTGGCTTCGATCCATGGTCACCCAGTGGTCCCTTAGCACAGCTTTGTGGCGCTGAAGAGGAGTAAAGCTGGCACCATTGCTGACACTGGGATATGGTATTGAGTAGTGTGACAAGACAAAGTGCACATTAGCCTGAAGGCAGGGCTGTGCTTTTTAGCAAAAGAAAGCTAAGTGGTACAAAGTCTTACTGCATCACGGTCACTCATGCCATGGCATGACTGTGGGGAGCCTGAGTAGTGCCTAGCAGCTTCCATGAAATAAGAGATATTCCAAGCAAGACAATCATAAGCAATCACTGATACAGAAATTGATTCCAGTAACTTTTCAAGACCATTATCTATCCAGCAACTTTTCAAGACTATTATCTCCAGTGCCACCTGCTGAGCTATCTGACATCTCTGGGAATTGACACCAAGTGAAAAAAGGTGAAAAAGACAAAGATACCTTTGTTTCTCTAAAATATCCCCTTCTTGAAGAAAACTAGTTAAAAAGGAAAATAATCAAAGAAAGTGATAAGATTGAAACTTCTGAGGCACACAGAATCACTTCACCTTTACCTACCCAGCTTGCTAGGGCAACCTCATGCCATTTTGCCATGGGTGGTATTATTTCCCTTCCCCAGTGTATTCATCCCTTTTGTGTAACCTCACAGCCCTGCTTAGTGACATCAAATTGATCAACAGAGAAAATAGTAAAAATAATCCTACCTCCAAATAAAAACATTTATCACTGCCCAAAACTTTAAAAAAGGAAAATTGAATCCTCCTTTATCCTCTCCAGAAAAGTCACAGGGGACTTTCTCATGGCTGGTGACAGTGGCCACCAGTGATGTCAGAGAGCATCCTGTAGCAATGCAATGCAACTATAAGTGAAGTGCAATGTGGAGCTTTA